TTTATATATAACTCTTTATTATTCAACATACTATCATATTATTCGTATCCATAATATTTCATTAGGCTGAAGATATCAACATTCCATAATAGGCATGAATACAGATCATTAATACAAATTATATAATCCTACTAATAATTTATACAATAGTATTCAAATAAATTAATAATAAACATAATACATAATAATGACATTGTAAACAATTACAAAAAAACAATAATTCAATTATATTGACGAGCTCAATTTTAGGGGAAAATATCATAATTAAACAAATTAATCTACAATAATTTAAACATAAATTTTAACACCATACAATATCACACGTCCCAAAAGTGAGGCAATTCCTTAATCTTACCCAAATATTCAACGGTACACGATTAAAACCAAAGTTTACTACAGTATATTAATAATAATAACTCAGTCTCTCACGTTTTTCACTCTATGTTATGTTCTCCTTGAATGATACATTCCAAATGATACATTACAAATGATTCAATTTAACAATATACCTAGGTCTATTACACTGCACAAAGACTACAAAGAAAAAAAAAATACATATACAAATTCAAAATTTTAGGGTAAACCCATACAACAGTAATATTATATTGATACAAAAATGAAACCATGATTTAGGACGAACAGATTAAAATTGAGGTTTTTGAGCTTAAAGTTTATATTTAGGTTCAAATATAATATATTTAAATTTAAGCTCAGAAACCTCAATTTTAATCAGTTCATCCTAAATCATAGTTTCATTATATTATAATGCAAGTTTAAGTATTCTGTTGATTTAAGATACTAATGGCATGGAATTGGGTTTGCTTGTATCTTGGTATTGAATGTAGGTGGTTTGAATTCATTTTTCTTTTTCAAACTATTTGATCAGGTATCCAGAAACGAAAATCTGGTGATCTGCATAATTGGTGAGCAAATTCTAAAAATTATTATATATTTTTAAACATTCCAGCATATCTATGTTACACATATTAGAGCACTATTATAATTATTGTAAGAGCTGCCAAGTGTAATTCCTAATGCTCTTTCTAACCGAGCTGAGCGTATACAAGATAAGCCATCATTCCACACTGGAACATAGTTTAAAAAAGTTTCCCACAAGAAGAAAAAAATGCTGGATCGCCACTGAATTCATGGGTACACTCCTTTTTCCTTTTTTCTCTTTTTAACTCAAATGTTTCTCATTTTTTTATTTTTTGGCTTGACCGACTGGGGGTACGGGCCCTCATGGCCCACTGCTGGTTCCGCCCTTGGCTAATATATCTTTCCGGAGTGTCAATCAAACTTAACAACTGACTAATCAGAACAGCGCTAGGAATACGCGCGCGTCTTACAAACACACGTGTTGTCCCACAAACGCACGTGTTCGCGTATGTTTTAACACTGCTGACTTGTGGGACCTTAGCAACAATATCCAAGGGGCGGAGCTTAGCGGAAAGGTCCATTATCAGAGGTCAATATGCCGGCAGCCTACACGTTTCATACATTTGACGTCAAACCCAAGACATTACGTGATTTTCAAAATTTCTTTATATTAAGAGAGTATAACTTATGATAGACAACAGTATTAATGGAAAATTATTATAAAAATAAATCATGAGTATATTTCCCGCACGATTAAAATCGTAACGGTACTGGGTATTGCCTAGGAGCACGTGCTTCGTACATGTCATTTCATTCATAGAAAAAGCCTTTTATTAAAGAAAGTGTACCTGTCGTTAGCCGTAGTAGCTTAGGTTAATACATAACTCCGGCTATATAACATTGATTATAAGATTGAAAAATGTTAATCTTATTATTGTAGCATTATAAATTTACCTCGGATGATTAAATAAATTGTTAGCATGTGATCTACTGGTAGTTTAAACTTTGTGAATAGTTTTACCTATATATTTAAAATTAAAAGTCTGCGGAAGGAGTAGCGAATTTACTGAAAACGTTAAAAAATGTAGACTTGATAGTATCGAAGTCTACGTTTGCAAAACTACAAAAAGAAATACTCTGAAAGGTCCACTGATTAATCTCAGATAAGGTAGTATAAAACATACTCCAAGTATCGAAATGCACGCCATTGTGTCGGGATTCAATGAAGTTCGACATTAATTATGTCATCATCAGGAACTTCTCTTTTTTTTTCATTTAGGCCTACGTGTATCTACTGTGCTAACATCATATAAAAATGATGATCAGATATGTGCTACATATGAACAATGGAATGCTAAAATAATGTAATTTGAACTATTGCAATAATAAGGGTCTAAAATATGACCGTCTAATTGAGTGGGTTGATGAGTTAGCGGTGTTAGATTGGTGAATTTAAGTGTAATTAGTGTAAGATTTTAGTGTATCGATTAGCAACTGAATATTTAGGTCACCATCTAACTTAACATAACTAAACAATAGGCATTAACAATTATAATAGGCCTACCACAATACATTTTTATTAACACATACGGTAATCAAAAAGTACCATGTTTCAAATATTAACAACTCTCACACATGTATGAATTGTAATTAAATTCTACGATATCAATATTAGTAACAACATTTTGTACATATAATATTAGGTTGATATTTTTTATAAATGTTTGCATTATTTTAATATATAATATGAAGGAGTCATTATAAAGGTAACGGTACTTAATACATAATAACATTTTCAACAAAAGATGACCACAGAATCTAGTGTTCAATTTCAACAATTATTGTTAAACCGTGACTTAAATACCCATAGTCGTAAATATACAAATACATCACAATTGCTAAAATGAATATGTAACCTGAAATATAAAACATTATTGTTCCCACTGCGGGATTTCAAATGTTGACTTCGACCACTGCTTAATATCCCAGATGTTACCAATAGACGTTTCTTTTCGATTTCTAAACTTGATTTGTTTAGCATTCAATCCGTATCCTTTTTCCTCTATACCACCATCTTTGAAGAGGACGAGAATACCAATTGATTTCTTTCCACAACCTTTCTCAGCACATTTAATAAATCCTGTAATATATAAACAATTTTTAAAATTTAACATCAGCTAGAAATTAGTGCTTTGAAAAAATGTTTACAGCGAGAAATGAGAAACACTTCTAGTCACTGGAAGTGTTTTATTATTTATATTATAATTTGTTGGTTTAAAAATCAGGGTAGACATTTTTTAAATTCAATAATTTCTATGCACAAGTTAATTATTTGTATGTTATTGCAAAATGAGAAAGTTTATTTCAAACTTATTTTTTTAATGATTTTTTGACATTAGCAAGGGACAATACATCTTTAAATTCACAACACCCATCAATTAGATTAACCATGGCAAAGGAGTACGAAAAGTTGCACTTCCTAAACATCGTTCTAGATAACTTAGACCATAACTCATTAATAACCTCTGTCCATCATTAAAAAAAACAAAAACAAAAACAAAAATAAAAAACATAAACCGACTTGTTTACGAATTTCCATACCTTTACGTCACATGCATATAAACTTTGGCTTCTACGCACCCTAATAGATCTTACGTATACAATTAACAACACATGGATAGGTTTTCATAACGATTTAAGGAAACTTGTACTTACTTTAAAAAAATGTTATCCGGTTTCATTAATTAATAAAATAATACATAACTATCTGAAAAGAAAACTATCGCCCACCAATTTGAATCTTCCTAGGACTATAGTTGGTCGAGAAATGATTAGCTACCTTAACCTTACGACGGTTAGGTATATATACTGTCTCTTATACACATCTAGATGTGTATAAGAGACAGGTATTGTCTAGGAGCACGTGCTTCGTACATGTCATTTCATTCATAGAAAAAGCCTTTTATTAAAGAAAGTGTGTAGTTTAATAGCTCTAGTTGTTTAATAGCTCTATGGTTCCCATACTGTTACGGCAGAAAGTATAAAGGGCGCTATTTTAGGTCACTTAAGTGAACTGACTGATATACATGAATATGCATGCTTGACGTCCCCCAAGCGAAAGAGGTGTTCAGTATCAAGTAAGCTGCTTTGCTAATGCGTGTGTGAAGCAACGGCGTAGGCAAAACTCTCTAAAATAGGCATTGGTAGTCAAGACAGTGTGCAAATTTATAAACTATTCTAATATCCTATGACTAGACAAAGTTTACGTAGGCCTACAACATGCTCTTTGAAAGTATAAAAAAACACAGTAATATTGAAACTGCTAGGCCTATTTGAGTATAAATAAGCCTACATATGACATGATCTGACATGCGTTGTAGCAAATGTATTCACCTCCCCCCACATCTTTTGGTCTCTAATTAGATTCCCTCTAATTAAAGACCAACACTAAAAGTGGTCTTAAATATCACTATTTAGAGGGAAATTGAGAAATGATAATAATAGTAAATGTATGATCGTGTTATTCCAAGTGCTTTAGAGTGTACAGTAACTGTATGCATTTTCTGGATATTCACAAGTAGCAGCGCGTTCGTTCTGATACCAAAAATCTATATTACAGTATTACTAATAACAACATCGACCTACTAAAAAAATATATATATATATATAATATAAGAGCACTGTATACAAACACCATTATCTTAATGTTGTGTTTTTTTGTGTATTCATATAATTATTTTCATTTTTTTTAATGCATTAAAGTAATTATGTACATTTTAATGTATTCTTTATTGTTAATAATTCAGTTGGGTCTGCCAAAACCATACTATAAATTCCAAATGTCCTACTAACACAATCGGTATTCAATATGCATGTATCAGGGAACAGTGATATAATCTGCCCCCGAATATGCCAAAACTATCTATGGGTTTCTAAGGACCTGTTTCTACTGACAAGATAAAATAGTTCTTTGTCGAAGTAGAAACAAGGCCCACAAAAAAAGGTTGTTTTTAACCACCAAATAACTGTTTTTCGTACAAAAGAACCGTTCTTCATGTTGTAGTTTTTAACTGCTGATTAAATAATAGTGGCCTGACTCTACAGTCAACCCACGTCTAGTACTTATAAATTGTTGTAAACGTCGGAATTGAGAATTTTATTAGACTTTGTAAAATACTTCTCATATCAATAATTTAGACCTCTTACCCAATTTTACCGTTCGACAAATCCTTATTAAGTTCAGTAATGGTCAGAAATGTCAGTGTCCATGGTCCAGTCAAGTGATATACTTCGATATTATAATTCAATTATCAGGAGGAATCAGTAAAATAAATTGTATACCTTCTATTCTCAACACAACAACATATTCTCTTCGGTTAAGTTAGAACAAACGTTCAACATTCGCTTTATTTGAATACCGACATGATCTTTTATTTGGATATGAGAAATCATCATCGTTTGTTTGTATCATGGTGGTCTGGTGAAAATATTGTTGTTAAACGTTTTATTATTAAAGTCATTTCTGTCATATTAAATTGCATTCTTAGTAATGTTCACGTTTTATTCAGCTCGGTAACGTATCAAAATACACAACCATTTTGTAACGAGTCAAAATGCAGTTGCGATGGATAAAGTTCTTATCTTGTTAATCTGATAATCAACAAATGATGAAATTAAGAAATAATCATAAAATGGTTTAGGATTGATGTACAGTTACTGCATGCTGTTATACAGAGATTTCTTTGAAATCAAGACCTCAATACTTGTGCTAAGCAACTTTCCATTAAAATATTACTAACATCACTAGTAAACATTATCGTTACGCAATAAACACAAAACATCATCTTGTCATGTGCATTGACTAAGACTTTGTTTTAAGCCCTAGAAAAAAAATAGTATTAATACCACTATTATTTATTTTATAGTGGTCTTTTGGTTGGAGGGAATATCTTCATTTGGGTCCACCAAAACCATGGTATTTGGTCTCTAAATAGGTCTAGAGGGAGACTTAAATTAGAGGGAAAAGCCAATGTTAAAAGATAGGAATTCAAATGGGACCACAGAAAAGTTGTCTTTAATTGGAGGCAGTCTTACAATGGTGGGGTCTTTAATTGGAGGGAGAACTGTAATTAAATTATTTTATTTATAGTCAAGACAGTGCTAAAATGTATTGACTATTTCAATATTCATATGACTAGACAGTTAACGTACAACATGGTCTTCGAATGTATTAAAAAAGCACAGTAATATTGAATTTTCAAATTTAAAAAAAATGTATTTTATGCTCCCATAATACGACAAAGTAACTATAACAGCAGGGACAGTGATATTTAACATTGTTACAATGATTTTGCAATTAAAACGACCCAGTTGGCCGCTGACACTTAAAGGTTATCTTCACAATGATGAACTTGCCCGCGCTTCGCAAGGCTCAATTTCTTCGAAGTATTACTAGGAATATGGCTCGCCTGAAAAATATCATTAGAAATACTATAACAGAAAGAGAAAAATGTTCACCTCATTATTAAATTAAATTAATATTGTTATTGTTTTTTCTCTTTGTTCTGTAACCTTTGCTTCATTTACAATGCTGTAATCTCGTTATGTTTTGTAATTAATTATTCTAATTAATAGAATAAATAAAATATATGTATTGCTCGTCTAACATGCATTTTATTATTGCTTTGTTCGAAATCTCCAAATGCCAACCCAAGTGTGTGAAAAGGCGTAGGCTAGCTACCCGCCTTGGCAAATAGAAGCCCAATTGGCTTAATCTAGAGAAGAAGCTCATCTCGAATTGAATCCCCCTTTAATTTGCAAAAGTAGCCTCGAAACGAACGCATCTCGAAAGACCATGGGCTTGTTTTTTTGTTTTATTTATGAGCTTTTATCCAGATACACAGTACATGAATTTCAAAGATACACAATGAATTAAAATCACGCTTAGTAGTAGCAGTAGTATAGGTGATTTAATGTCGGTTAATACACTCCATGATACAGATTGTTGTTACAGTGTGACCCTACTTAACGATTTATATAGCAGTAATTTCCAACAATTTGCAGCATTCCTTTTGAAAAAAAAAACCCTCTTTACTTTGCAAAAGTAGCCTCAAAAAGACGCCTATCCAAAGTTCGCTTATCAAACTAGAAATCAGCTTAAATACGTCTTAAGTCCAATTACTTGCTTTAGTCAAATTTATCCATAGGTTGTTTAGCTTAAAAATTGCTTAAAGTTAGAAAGTCGATTGTACGTTCTAAGTCCATCTAAGATGATTTTTAAGCCATGATTAAGATTGTTTAATAAATCAGTTTAAGATATTTATTAGGACATCTTAACTTTTTTGACTTAAGACATTTGCTAAGCTGGAATTGATAAATCCTGGACCTGGGTTTCAATTCGAGGTTTTACGATATGCCGGGGATGTATGTAAACACTTCTTATAGTTTTTTATTATTATTATTATTATTATCAACGAGTTTATGGTAATGGCGATCTATCTAGTCTTATGCCTTGTATTATTTTAACTAACCGCTTATTGCCATTATAAGTCATTGTAGCCTAGAGAGAAGGCCTAAGCCTTTAGACGCACAGAAAGAATATTAGGAGTATTGCACTACTGTGTTTAAAAAAATGATTGTATTGTTTTACGACATTCTTTATTAGATAAATAAGCCTTAAAGTCACCTATCCCCAAATGATAAACCCAAAATATAAGTCAATACATAATTTTAAAAAGATGTAACGAAAGAGGAATATCTGCATCTATCATGACATTTTAGCAAATCATTCAATAATCCAGTTTTTAGTATTTTCTTAAGTTTTACTGCTTGTGTCAACATTATAATCAAAATTATTTGCATTTTGTCTTTCATTTTTAAAAGTTTTTTTTTTCTAAATTGTAGTTAAAGACGTAGCAAAATTCAGTATTATGACTCGGAACATAATCCATGCAGGCCTGTTTAGCCAGTGGTTGCGTATAAGTGACTCAAGGTCATAAAATGCTGTAAACTTTACTTTACTTTAAGATGACAGTTAAATGAACTATATCGGGTGTTTAGAAGCAAAATTATGACTGTTTGATTAATTATCATCTTATCAACTACGGTATCTTAAAGCAAGTTTTGTGAAAATACCTTTACTTTCGGCAGGTTACTATTCATTTTCCACTAACTCCCATTCGAAAATGGCTAAATTTTACCTTTTACAGTTGAAATTAAACTCAAATTAAACTCAAACTTCAGAAACAAAAAGATTAACAGCTACACTTTATTCATTACACAAAAACCCAATTCACACAAAATTCACGTTCTACTAGGTATTCCGGCTAACGAGGCTTGCTTCTAAATACAGCACAATTACTCCTACCGTTTTTAAGCAGAGCACACCTAAAACAAGATTAGACTTGTTCCATCACTTTAAAAGTTGCCCTTGTATGATAATTATAATATAGTATCTTACTTAATAAGTAAAATGTATCATTCCTCAAGTCCCATGGCCCACTGGACACATGCCAAAAACACCACCCCTCTGAGCCTCACCCATCTAGGTAGATGTTGCCTATAGGCCTCTTGGCATTATTCGTTTAACCTACTGAGCTTCACAAACATGGACTGATTATTTCATCATTTAGATACAGCGTCGCTGAATGTAGCCTGTATTATAATTACTCTGAAAATTTCAATTCCTCAAGGAGAGTCTGGGATTCGAAAACTACCGGTATGGTGAACAAAATCACCAAAGAGTTCTAATTTTTTGTTGAAAACTTTTAACTTATCAAAATGTATGAAGTAATCTTAAATTTTTTTTTTCAATTTTATTACATTTATTGGGACAGAATGAGAATTATGTTTACTTTTGATAACGTATTTAGTATTAATATGTAAAACGAGCATAAAATAAGTTTCCTACCCAGGTTTGTTGTATCTCTGAAGCCTTGGCCATTTCTCTCCTTCTCTTGGATTTTGTTCCTGAATTCTGGATCAATACACGTGTAGTGGCATCCACGTTGACGAAGATCAGAGCCAAGACATAGGAATGTTGAGCATTCCTTACAAAGAACTTCAACATCAGATGCTCTATCCAATTGTTGGTTTTGTTTCTTTTTCAACATTTTTTTCTCGTATTCGTCTAACAATTTATTCTGCCAATTAATGCATGATCATTGTTAATATAAGTACTTTTGATTTGTTACTTTATTATATTTGTTTTTGATCTGATTGCGCTCTACAAGTCGACTATTATTATTACTATTATTATTATTATTATTATTATTATTATTATTATTATTATTATTAATCAATTCGGCACACACATTTTAAACAATGGAACATAAAAATATATGAAAACAAATTAAATATTTCAAAGAATAACAAAGGTATTGCTAAGAAACATACGAAAAGGCACGTTTGTATAATGCATTTACACTAAGCTTGCAATTGTTTTTCATCGGTAAACAATATTTTTTCAAAATGTTAATGCTGTCACAATGCAGATCGATACTTATCTCGACACAAACTATTACACAACCAAAGCATCAAAGAAAAAAATGTATTTATATCCTGCATTATTTTAAAGTTAATTTACAAAAACATGCATTTTTTAATAGTAATATCACAAATATAACGTTATTTTACCTGTCGTATAATAACAGCATTTCTGAATTCGTCTTCTGACTGGCAATCAACATTTAACAATGCTTCATTCATTCTTCTGACTTTTTCTGGGTTCGCCTCCTCATGTTCCTCATTTTTTGAACCTCTGGTTGTCACAGAACCAACATGTAAATCAGTCAATAAATTAAAGATATATCACTCTAAGCAATTTTTTTTTACAAATATAAATAAAACGTTAAATTATTCATAATATTATAACCAGTGCTCAAAATTCAATAACTCTTTAAAAAAGTAATTTTCCTACAAAAACAGAGTACCGCATGAAAACTTAACCACTTTCGTATAATACCTATTTTCACCTAAGAGGACTTAATGACTAATTAAATTTCATTTTATAAAACAATCAGTGATTAACAATAAAGAGACAACATACCTTTCAACAATAAGATAGGATTTGCCACACTCCCTAGCACGCCCCCTAGATTGGACGGTGCCAATTTCATTACTAACGTAGTTAAATCGAATAACAACATTACATGCTGGCATATTTAGACCTTCCTCTGCAATGTTCGTCGCTACTAGAACGTTGATTTCTCCCTCTGTAGTAAATAATTAAATTCTTTTGATGATTGACAGCTGTTGAATAATACTAATACTACTACTATTAATACCAAGACTCATAAATATAATAATGGTAATAATATATACTACTAAATTAACGTTTCGTGTTTTTCTCTGTCCACCAAATATCTCTGAAAGTATTCAAGTACAATTATGATTTTCACGCATGTTGTAACTACCACGGGACGAAATTCCGCTACATTAGGGTCTCGACTCTGTTACCCTACATATGTGTTTTTTTTTGGCCAAATTAACACATTTTCTTGCAGATTACTTCCAAATCTCAAGACTGTGTCACGCATCCGATGCATGTTATAAGTCCCACATGCACACATTCATAGCCATATATTCAGAGACAATACCGTAACACCGCATTCAAACAATGAACACGTCAGAGTTAACACGTTATACATACATACGGGAAAAAAATATTCCTAGATGGCGGAAAATGTGCTTTCCAGATTTCTGAGGTGTCTTTTAATGACATTAAAGTTCTTCAAAATTCAAGGTTTTCCCCCACTTGAACACGGTCGGGTAAACTTTTCTTTTCTTATTACAGTATAGGCCTAGTATGTGTGCTCATACATAAACAAACTTTTTTTTTTCTAAGAATCGATAAACCTGAAAGAGAAAAGGCGTCGGGGTTTTCTCCTGGGAAAATTTTTGATTTCTAGATGGTGGGAAAAGAGATTCCCTGATTTCTGAAGTGTATTGGTAACGACTTTAATTTCAAAATGTTAGCTTTCCTCCTCCTGAAAATGGTCAGGTAATTTTTTTCTCATTCTTATTACAGCAAATAGGTTTATTTTGCGTGTACCAGTATACATACAGAAAAAAAAAATGAGTAGTTGCATACGTATTCTTTTTTCTATTAATCGATGAACCCAACAAGAAAGGGGTGTTGGGGTCCTCCCCGGGAAACCTTTGCTTTCTAGATGAAATTTCAGTTCACTGGCCCTGAAATGTTTTCGCCAATTCCTCCCATTCAACTATATCCATCGCCACATTACCACACTCATTCGACACATGAGCAAGGGTATATGCTAGTACTGTAATACAGTACTAACAAAATTGAAAATGATACAGTACAAATAATAGTAGTATTACTGTCTTTGTACGTTTATAAAAAAACAGATCATAGCGTTTTTCCTCATTGACATAATGAGAAAATAGTGATGTTTGAATTACAAATTTTAAAATATCATAAAATAATTAAAAAGTAAAAAATACACGAAAAACAAAATAAAATCAAAAAGGAAATTATGAAATACAAATACATAAGCGTTAGGATGACGGATGACAATTATTTTTGTTTCCTTGGAGCTGCAAACACGAAAAGTCACAACACAGATATGATCGCTAAGGGCCATTTGGAAATGAATTTTCGGATCAGAATAGTACATTTTACGGTTGGTGACAATGACATCAAGGGTAATGTTATATCTTGCTGGTTGTTTATTTGTTTCATATCATGTGCACTGTAGATGGATCTTGTGTGAGTTCTATTTAGGTCTCCAAATATTATAAAAATAACTATCAAGATAAACAGGGCTAACGAAATGAATTACATAGCTTATCACAAAATCAGATACATTTTTTTCAGTTTATCTACCTACCACTTACATGTAATGAACTTCAATCTTGTTTTCTTTAATTCTTCCTTTCTTTTATATTTATTTTACCTTGATATCCCATTTGAAATTTGAATTCTTTTTACCTTAGCGTTGTATTTTGTAAACTTTACTATATTGTTTTTGGACACACCTTTTATTGAGAAGCGTGCCACTGATGGAAAAGTGTAGTTCCGAATAAATTATCAAAATACATACGCCTTTCTTGAAAATAACAATCTGCCATCCGAACAGAAAGTGTGAAAAAGAGGCTCATGGTGTCAGGATCAACTACTTATTTTAAAAAAAAGATATCCCAGACCATTGTAAATCAAAACGTAGAAATCGGTGTTGCTTGGATAGATAATAGGATGGCCTTCAACAGTGTTCTGCATGATTGGATCATCAAATCAGTGAGTATGTATACAATTGCTCCAGAAATGTTTAAGTTAGCGTGAAGACGTAAAAGACACATCTCCCACTAAACCACACAAATGGATCTATAACAACTAATAATATTAACATCAACAGAGGAATTTTCTAAGGAGACTCATTCTCACCCCTTTCTGCATTGCCATGTTTTTGTTAGCACAAAGTTTAATCTTGGTAAATGTGCAAAGGCCACTTTCAAGAGTAGGAAGTTGTTCAAAAACAAGCAATATCGATCTAGGAGCAAACACAAAAAGATCAGAAAACTAGAACGGCGATGAAGGAGAAAGCCCGTGAAAATGTTATGAGAGAGTAAGACTAGTGCTCGAATCTGAAGCATATTGGCTAACAAAGTATCTGCAATTAAAAATTTCTGTTGTTAGTTATAGCTTTGGAATCATAAACTGGAGTATAACTGACCTGATGAGAATTGATCGTAATATACGGTTTACTAACGAAATTCCGCATGTATTACCCCAAATCAGATACTGATAGTTATATAATAATACATACATCGTGGTGTCAGCTGGCGAGGCCTTATCTAAGTCGAAATGACAATGGAAAAGACGAAGAAGAAAATCAATCATCGCCACAGCTTAGCTCAGTTACCTAATCTGGTGGTAGACAATGTGTGTTCGCTGAACCGTCGAGATATAGGTCCCCGGTTCAATTCCCATCGCTGCCTCTCCTTTTTTTCTGCTGGAGGGCTGAAATACAAGTTACATTAGCGATCCGTCTTTCGGATGAGACTTTTAAGCCGTTGGTCCGTGTATATTTATGGCCCATGTTCACGTTAAAGAACCCAGTACACTCTTTGGGAAAGAGTAGGGGATTGTCTCCAGGTGTACTACCCAATCACCACCAGAAGGACCCCA